GTCAGCATCGATCAAGAAATTGAGAGGACTCAGATTTTTTTTCCACTCTCATTAGAAGATGAATAACGAATCTCCTCCTTCGATGACCATAACAATTTGCAATCCTCTCAATCGATTCTACTTACAATATGGTCTGTAATGTACATTTCTTTATGATATTTCCTAAGGAGCTGACAAGAATTTTTTTTTTTTAAGAGCTTCTTTAGTAGGTGATCATTTCCTTTATTCTCTCGACCTTTATGTTGAATTTCAGGGGTGAAACGGTAAAGAAAAGTCAAATGCTAGTCACTGACGGGTCAAAGGGTTAATTAATGCACTGTCCAACAAGCAGGTAACGAAAACCAAGATAACTATCTTATTGGGTAGCCTGCAGTGCAAGCGTCTCATCAGGGTGAGCTATCGTTATAAGCTCGCGATCGTTTATCCCATCGGCCATGTTTGATTTGTTGTCAAAGTGGACAGTGGGGGTAGGAGGGGGGGTCCGCTTGCAGTTACAATATACCAGTTCTGCATGGAACCCTTCATTAAAACTAAACGTAATATTAACAAGATTGATATGGTTCAACATAGAGCAGCTAGATTTGTCTAACACGATTATTAAAAATCATTTCATGTTACTCCTATGATTAATCAACTCAATTAACCATGTTCTACAAGATCCAGCAAGGTCTAAGGGTCACCCCGTTTCCTCCTGAGGTTTTCCCTCTAAACAGGGCATCTCGGCTTCCAAATTATACTCCTCATCGCCATATTCAGTGCAACTGTAGTGTCTACATTTTTTTTAATCCAAGGTCTATTGCAGATAGAACCAACTATCCTTAAGTACTTTACCACTGCAGAGCATCTCACTACTATATATTTGGAATAATTCTACTTAAAGTATGTACTTTTTATTTCCTTAGTTATTTATTTATTTATCTAATTGTTCATCCACAATTTACTTATTTATTCACTTTTTCAGTGTTACTCTATCATTTACTATCTAAGGTTTTGCTAATTAGACGGTTAATTTAATGATGTACATGTAAATTAGTTTTTAGTGTACAGTGGCCACGCGACGGAGGGACTGCAGTCTAGGTATGTTTTTTTTTTAGCAGTATTGAGTTATTAATAATTTTTACCGCTCTAAGGGGAGATTTTTTTTGTTTCATGCCGAAGAGTATGCAGTCTTCTTAGTCAGTAGCTGAACTTTTCCAACACTCTAAGAAGCCATTTAAGACCACGTTCAGTCTTGATACACGTGCCTTTGGTAATCCACTTTCCGTTCAGTTATCTGTTGGGAATAAAAGATGTAACAGACTTAATGTTGATCATTATATTAGAAATGGCTTCCTTCTTCAGGAAATCTCAAGCGAGATCAGGACAGGCGAGTAGTAAAGTCAAAAACTACGGAGTACGGGCACACCAGTTTATAAGTGCGATGACGAGACTAAACA